CTGGAAAATTTGACAGGATTTTTAGCCATACTCAGTTTTATCTTTGGGTACTGATTCGTAGTCACCCAAGAAGAATTTTTTTGACTTTTCTTTAAACTTTCTTTCGTAGCAAAGCAAAAATTTTGCGAGGAATTTGCACTATCCCATTTTAAACCGGCATCTCTCCAAGGCTAGGCAAATTTGCACAATACGCGCCTGGATTCAGCTCCTTCCGTCCAATCCACAGAGCTGGTTAATGGTTGTGACGAAGACCAAGAAAATCCCTTGCACAGCTATTTCAGAATTCCAGTTAAAATCTGCTCGGCTAGCATTTAACAACCTACATAGAGAAGACCAAGAGATTCTCAAACAGTAGCAAAATCCACATACAAGTCCGGAAACCTACGAGTGTTCTGAATGTAAAAAAAGCAAGGTGAATGATAATAAACGCTGAGATCAGCGCTAGAGATGTGATTCCGTGCCACTTAGACTAGAAGCAATTTACGATTTTTTGTAAAAGCGCTTTCAGAATGAGACTGTCAAAAGCGCTCGAAAAATGTCCGCACACCCTTATTATAAGATTGGTACTAAATTTTGCTGAATATTACGAAATAATTTCCTAAAACTGTCGTTGTTATTGGTAGTACAAACACATGAAGTACATGTTATTAATAAAGGTGCAGTACCGAATATAAGATTTTACTAGCAAGAAAAAATAATTGCTTTGAAGCTAAACTGCTTCAGCAGTACAGGAAAAAAATAAGTGACGTATCGAGCAAATACTGATGACGGTTTATGAACTGATCTCAAATGCACAGGCGGAAAGCGCTCAAGCGATACGATTTGTTATCCGTCATCAAACTTCTGTTAATGGAAAGTGTTGTTGTGTATGATCAACACCGTAAGCCGTCTTCGCACTAAGTGATTTAGGTCACGTACGCGTGGGATGTCAGCGCATTCACTGTCTCATCATCACCAAGCTGTGCCTCGTCCTGTACACTATGCAAATTCCGACATCGCTTTTTCTTACAACCTTCGTTTTTCACGTTTCGCCAAACTCGTTCAGTGAGTTCGTTGCAGTGTCTGCTTCTTAACAGTCATTAAAATGCTGTATGCATTAAACAGTCCATCACATTTTACACAAATGGTTGGATTCGTACAACTGGGGACTACCCATTATCTTTCAGAGACAACACTGTTTTATGAGCATTAGGAGAATAATAAAAGCAAAAGGTACTGCAAAATCGCTACTGCTTAACTACTTCACAAGGCAAGTCTTGAGCAATACAATCCGGTTCGAAGCGCATCTTCTATTGGTCGTGTTCTCTCGAAATCGCCACCAGTGTAGTTATTTTTTAAGCATACAAATAAATTATATACTCAGCAAACCCACTGATGCGTCGTGGGAGAGGCCTCCATTGACATTATTACTCATAATCATAACTAGTTATAAATAGGTGACAACTTCAACGTGTTAGGACACGCTTCAACACTCTTCCTATTTCCACCTTCCATTTTTCGGTAGCTCACTACATTGAGCTCCCTTGATTTGCCACAAGATGTTGTCTCCATGGTTCTAGGTGTATACAACTCTCCAACCCATCGTTTCTCATAAACCCTTTTTAAGCGATATCCTATTGTAGCGTACGTAGTCCAGTCCTCTCTGGATTTAATCTCTTAACTATTATTCGCATTTCAGTGTTATTACGTCAAAAAGTGCGAATGTCGAAAAATAGCGAATAGAGGTTTTAAAGTATACTTTGGTATGGAGACTCCTACTTTTCGTCTAAGTTATGTAACTTTAGTGGTCACTGAGGTGCTGCGATAAATAACGTTGTATTGACACACCTCTTTTTGTATCGTTTTCTTGTTCAGCAATCGCGAGGTTTTTAAACAGCATACATTTACTTCCATAAAAAACACAATACAATACAACGCTAGCTGACGTTTCGGCAGTCGTCAACCACATGCGACTATAATCAGCTTTTTCTAAACTTCCTTATTGGAAGTCACGAAAAAGCGGCTCTGAAGAAGGCGATACTGCCGGAACGTCAGCTAGCGTTGTATTGTATTGTGTTTTTTATGGAAGTAAATGTATGCTGTTTAAAAACCTCGCGATTGCTGAACAAGAAAACGACACATTCATATTCCAATGCCGAGGTTAAGAGAAAGTCGATCCTGGGAACTATTACAGCACCTCTTTTTCTCCATGTTTCTTTTTAATGTAAGAGCTAAAAAAATATTAGAACGTATTGGTGGGCAAGTGAAAGCAGTTATCAGATCTTTTGCTATAACACTGAGTTACTCCTTTTTCGACCAGCGTTAACAATTCATTTGTCTCGTACAGCCGAGGAACATGTTGTACTTAAAAAAGGTAAAGAGAAAGCGAAAATGCTGTTATGCACATACTACTACCAAATATGAAAATATAGACTCGACCCATGCAGTTGCCCTTTCTAGCAAAACTCATTTATCTTCAGATGATTAGGTTTTTTTCTAGTGAAGTAATGACATAATTGTTTATTCTTATAGCTGTTGCAAAAACTGTGCAGTGTCCACTCAATAGAAGATGAGCGAAGTTTAAAATTTCTTAGTAGTTCTTCTCCTCTGACGCTTGAGCAGGCTTTATTCCAAAAACATTTCACATTTCTTATGTGGCATAATATTAAGATTGTCTTTTTCTCTTCGTTGGAGAACGGTCCAAGTTTTGCACAACCATGGTTTCATAGATGCTTAGATATTCGCTGGTGTTTGTATAGTCCTTAGAGAATCTGCTTCTCTCTACTATTTGTAAAGCCGTGAAATTTTAGTTTACCTTAGTGTATTAGACCATTTTTCCAAGTGAGCTGGTAACTTCCTCGTTTTGTTGTTTGGCAATCGTTAAGAAGGATGATGTGAACGTTAGGTCACACTGCTTTTGTCGGCGACATCTTTGTTCTGCATCCAATATTTTTATATCGATGTCTCCCTGCACCACCTTATCCCCTCTAACTCTCTTGCAATATTCTATTATATATCGCGAGTCGCATTTCAACGTTGCCCAAATTTCCTCTCAAATCGTAGCTATTTAGTAAGGTTTTAGAAATGTGGTCCGAATTGCTGATGTCATATACCAAAGCATAGATAATCAAAATTCGAAAAAAGTCCATAACTAGATCAAAGTCCATTGAAGGTCTTTCGTTCATAGATTATTGATGCACCCAACAACAATCGCATAGAATACAAGCCTCAAACACAATGTTTTCTCATCGCCTCACAATAATTAGAATCGTTATTAAACTTATCGATTCGACTATTCATCAAGAAGAGACGACGTTCAGAATCACTATGTCGGAATCGTGCAACAAAAAATTTGAGGGCATGCAGGCTTTCAGTGGCCAGTACGTAGTTGACGTCTTTATAACTGCTACCCTAGAGTGACGCCCATCTATTGCAACCAATACCTGTTCATTGCCAGCACGATTAAATTCCGTGGCAAAGACGCATTGAAAACTGGGAAGCAGGTATTGAACACCGTGTTCATTATGATCTGTAAACAGAAAATCTGCACCTTTCTCACGGAATCTATTAATATTTCGATATCCATTTGCTGTGTTTTTTTCCATTCCTTGCCAGAATTGCGCGCATAATATAATGTGATCAGTCACAGAGAGAAGATTGATGATCAGAGATTGAAGAGGCATCTCTTGTGTTCGCTGTACAAGGAGAAGTACGATTTTTACAGTGATCTAGTAGTATCCTGTGCTACCTCGATTTGCTCCCTCTTTCTGTGGATACCCATATCAGGCAACCAAAATTCACTAGGACACTTTTTCTTTCCGAAGGACATTTCGAAAGTAAAAGTGAATTATGCAACAGCACTAGTCTTTTTCCTTCGAAAATGTAAGCTTGTCTAGTGAAAAATTCAATTAGACAATGCAGTGAAGTTCGGGACTCATTTTGTTCACAGAAGAACCGTCATCGAACAGTTGTTCGACTGATTGCGGGCTTCACTGCATTCATAGAAATCCCAGTAAATCAGGAAGAGATTAGTAGCAAGACAACATGTTGGCCTACGATGCACGAGGCGTCGATCTGCCCTTGGTACCTTGGATGATCAGATACCACAATCTAAGGATTTCAAAGAAATTTACGCTTGACCAGCATTGAAAGTATCAATGAGAAAAATTGGCTGCTGAACGTCACGTTTTAATTGCTGGAGACCTCTCGCCTTTTTAACACAATAACCCGACAAAAGTGAGTACCGCTAGTGAGAGACAACGAAATTGATACAAGCGCTGAACGCCCACTACATGTAAAGACCGCTAACTTGATACTTGGTACTCGAACGGCCCGTCCCCACTAGTTGTGCCGGCCTCAGCATAATCACCAATTTTCGGTGATTTGCTGGTCAAGCCATTGTGGTTTCCTGGAATCCCGACAACATCCTGGCCAAAATCTGCTCAAGTCGTCACCACTACAGATGGTCGCCGCCCTCGTGGATCAGAGAGAGATTTGCCGCCATGCGACTAATTTGGTACCAGGACCTGATGGAGACGCCAGACTCCTTCTCACCTTGGGAGACCCTGTCCGTGAAACGAATCCTCCTGCTGTACATCTCAGTCCGACAGCTAGGAACACCTCTTAGCCACAATGAGGCGGTAAGCCATTGGGAGGAAAGACCGCTATCTGAGTAACTAATTAGGTGTGCTTCAAAAACGCTGGTTGTCCCATAAACGACTAAGAAGCGACAACATGGTATTGTTCTAAAAGTTTTTATAATGAACTAAGCAGTGGCTAATTGGAAAATAAAATTTTGGGATCTGGTTTATAATTCTAGGTTAGGTATTTAAATGTGAGGTTCTAGTAGCGCGCGCTTATCAAATCTTGCATGTATAACCCCAAAAGTCGAAAAAAAAACTTTCCCCTATTTGTCAAAAAGGCTTTTTTCTAGTTCCTTGTTTTTCGATACAGTGGATTAGACACATTTATCAAGCCAGTGTAATTATAGTGGAAAAACCTTGATGAGAGAAACACTTTTATATTTCTTGGTCACCGCCCGGTTATGAATTCCTCTCAGCAACGAAATGCTTCTCGTTCACACCTTCTCACGGTATCTCCAATTCTGTTTCTTTCGCTGAATTGTTTCGAGTAACTGTCGGTGACTGCCTGAACTACTGTATCATCAATGCGGCCAAAATGGGGGTTAGTTTCGACTCTTTTTCTAAATTCTTCAACCTAACTTTGCAATTCTTTAAAGGAAGGCTGCGTTTCTGTGGTCTACCATAAACTTCATTCAACTTGTCAGTTATATGGACACAATGGTTACTTCAATGGTTTGTTGAGTTTTTTTTTCAATATTTGATTATACTTGTAAAGCTAAGGTCTGATGGTTTAGTCCAAAAACAACACAGTGAATGCAAAAACTTCGCCAAGTTGTTGTTTTTCCTAAACATTTGTCACAAGATCTTAACTAGCCTTTCAGTTTTTAACTGGAAAGAAAAGGCTTTAGAAAGTGGAAGAAGATGTGACTCCAAAAAAATTGTTGACAATCCTCTTATAGAGTTCTTCAGGGTCGAAAGTAGTGTCTGCCGATGCACATGATTTTTATCAGCGTACCAGTTGGACGGGTCTCTGTCAAGACAAAGTAGGTGAGTGGTTTAAAAGCAGTTTTAACATTGCTACTAGTTTTTGCGTGCCATGTTCTGGCAGTTACTTTCAGTACCAAAAAGGGCTTATAAACAACGTCCCATGCAGTACGCTGTTCCTCAAGAACCTTCCCAAAAGGTCAATTTACCACGTTTGGAAAATCTTATGGAATTCCAGAAATATCAGCGACCTGTCACGGTATATTCCTATAAATTTCACTTTATATAATGTAGTATAAGAAGACTTATTAAGACAATTCTTTCATCTACAACAGAAGGTTCAACTACAGCTGCGCTCACCTTTACAGATCAGAATGACCAACATTCCCTTGAGGGAATTTCAAACACTATCAGCTTTTTAAATCCCACGCACAACAGTGGTGCGTTTAAGCTCGAGTTGGTAGATTTAATTTTTCTCCAACCAACACTATTTCTAAGATCGAAATTTGCTGTTCATGTTGTTAATGGCCTCGTAAGAGCTTCTTCAAAATGTTGCTCATAAATATTTAGAGCTAATCTCTCTTTGTTTAGAATGTCCCAAACAAGAAAAATTGAGTTATTTTGTGGTGTTCGGCTACCGTCTATCACTACAAAATTTGGTAGCTGAACTAAAAGGAATCGATCAAAGCAGCTGTGTGATGTACTGCAGTCAGAATATCGTAAGTGAAACCATTCTTCTTCTTGGAAGTAACTGGTTTTGTGGTTTTTACACACGCCTTATCTTGCACGACATATCATTTCGAATATCATTGCCAGCAAATCGCGTGCAAATCTGCCTACGCTTTCCTTGAAGCCTTTTAACTGTAAAACATATTACACCGTATTTCTTACCATTATCTTGCTTTAGAATGCAAAGGGAGAAGCAGTCCCATGTTACTCTGTGAACTATGAACCAGTACAGGAAAAATGTCTTTTGTACGGAGAACGTGACAGCTCCAATCGGCACACCGCCCATCTAGCAGCCGATAACAATTTTATTTTTGCGGACAAATTTTGCCTTCAAAGTCGATTTAGCCTTTTGATTCACTTTGTTGTTTGACATGGTAGATTTAAAGGAATTTCAGCCAAAAAAGACTGCTCCGCTGAAGCACCGTTCATAGTCTACCCCTTCAAGCAAATGCGCAAGCAGATTATCGCCTCATATCCAGGAATGAATTCACTTGTCGCGTGTGTTGCAAGTTGTATTGACACAACAAATTGTAAGGTAAGGATCATAGCAGTACGTACAAGGTATGCAGCCTTCAGAGACGAGTGACCAGTGCTGAACTTCGCTTACCCACCAACATAAATTGCCTTATATTTAGATGGCCTCGACATCCAATTAAAACAAATGCGTTCTTTATTGACTAACTTCTTGGTCGAACCACAACCTATTGCTTCAGGCTGTGACATACAAACTTAGTCTTTGCATTCTGCACGATTCTTCACCAGCATCAGATTATTCTGTAATCGTCGATGGTAGCGAGCAGACAATGATTGTTGAAAATGGATGCCAACTAACCGCCGAAACTATGCGTTCTCTTATCTCAAACAATTTAGGTACGCAATAAAATTACAGAAGGTATTCCCGGGCTTCACAATGTTCACCTTTCTATTTACTGCCTTTTCCTAGCTTTCACGGCAGGGTGTTGTTTGTGAAACAACCACAATGATGCTGGGTTATTTGCAAAACTCCAGACCGCAGGTGTCTGCGGTGGGGAACGAACGCGTTATTGTCCTTTTCGGGAAGTGACGCGCTCACCACCACACTATGCCGGTTCTTCGATCTTTCGCCTGTTTCTCAGCAAGTCCTGTCGATCGCTGTCATCAGCAATCACCCGTCAACGGAATTGATCTGGGGAGCCTAAATCGGTATTGAACGCAGTTAAGTTGAGGCTATAGTTGAAATTCACAATGTTGACTTTTTTATCTATTGCCTTTTATTAGCTTTCACGACAGAGTACTGTTTGTGAAACAACCGTAATGGTGCTGAGATATCTGACGGGTGATTGCTGATGGCAAAAGATCAATAGAACTAGCTGAGAGACAGGTGAAACGAAAGACCCGCATGATGTAGTTGTGAACGTGTTATTCCCCGGAAAGAACAATAGTGCGTTCGTTCCCCACCATAGACACCTACTGTTCAGAATTTTGTAAATATCTCAGCAACGTTGTGGTTGTATTTCGCTTAGTGCCCTGCCATGAAAATTGTAGTAGGCAGAAAATAAAAGGTAAAAAGTTGTGATATTTCTATCGCTGCTCTTCGCACTCCCTCTATATTTTTGCACTTTATATATGACTCAAACATATGTCAATTATATATTTAAAACATTTCATTTACTTCCATAAAACACAATACAATACAACGCTAGCT